AGAAGCAGCCTGAATAGCTGCACCTGGATTTGTGATCCCCAGAAACTCTGAGATAATGTATGTTTTAAATAACTCACTTTTTGGCATAATGAATTATGTAGTAGTAGTACTAGATAACTGTTACTTTTATTTAGCTTGATTACCATTTTACCAACTAGAATGTTAACCCACATAGGCAGTGATTTGGGATTTGTCTTGTTTTGTTTCCACTGTTTTTCCTTACTGCTTAGAAGTGGGAATAGCATTATAATTGCATATTAACATGTAATCATAAGGCATCCAGAATTTGGCACCTTGATAAGGAAGTATAATATGCAGTCTTAATATATCTAACTTCTCATGTAATGTAAGGGTTACTTGTCAGATCACATAAGGGTTTTTATCCAGAGGAAATCCATTTAACAAAATGCACAGAGAAAAAGAGCAGCCTGGAATTAGCAAGTCCTTTTGACACATATGACCCACATTACAGATGACGATAATGTGCTGCCTTTTACTACAAATGAAGAAATAAACAGCACAAGAGTTCATCAACTGTACATCAATATATTCATTTTTGGAGGTTATTTAAAGAAATAAGATTTAAAACAGATTTTTGTAGTATCAATTTGTTGATAAATATAGCAATTTAATAATTATATTCCTGATGAACCACAGACAGCTTCTATTCATACTGAATTCTTGCTTAGCTGTTATCTACTAATTACCAAGCAAATTGGTTTTGTAAGTTGATGTGTACTATAAAAAGTAGCATATATTTTAAAAACTATAATTTTCCCCATTCCAGTTCTGATCACTCCACTTCTCTCATTTATCATGTTTCTGTATTTGTGGGGGTAGTTTCTGGGACCATCAGTCTATTGAATTAGTCCATTGTACTATCTCTGTCCCAATATATGCTCTTTTAAAAACTTTAGTTTTATTATAAATCTTAATAACAGGACACAAGTCCTCATCCTTTACTTTTTTGAAGATAGTATTTATATATTCTTGGGTGTAAGTATGTTGGAAAGGGCTTATTAACTCCACTTCACAAAATTGTGAGTTTCATTGAGATGAATCTATAAGTCATATTGGAAAGAAAAAAAATCCTTAAAATATTGAATTTATCATTAAATAAACTTCTTGCACATCTTTATTTCTATACCCTGTATATGTTTGATACTCTGCTGGTACCACTTTTAAAAAATATATTTTGCATTCTGTATTGGTAGTGAGTGAATAAATTGTAAATGATAAAGTCCTTTATGAAAAGAAATCTTTGATTTTGATGTAACTAAACATATCAAGTTTTGCCTTGTCATTTGTTCTGTAAAAGTTTTATACAAGAAGTCTCTTTTCTGCCTCTAGGATACAAAGAAGCTTTCCTTAATTTTCCTCTATTAACTTTACAATTTAACCTTCAAAATTAAGTGTTTAATCCATCTAGTTTCCATCCTTGAATGTCGTGTTTAAGTTTCTTGTTCTCTATAAGAAGAACTAGGCTTTTGTTGCAATCCACTTGACCTCTTCATCTTTCCCCAGTGATTTATGATAATGCTTTATTGTATTTTAAATGGCCAAATACAAATGGTCTAGTTTCTAGCTCTCTGTTCTTTCAATTGTTTTTTTGTGGGTTCTTATAAATGCCAAAATTTAAAACATATAACTAATACTATAGCATACTATAGTATGTCTTTTATCTTCCTTTAAAAAATTGATTGGGCTCTTTGTGCATTCTTATATTTCTTTACACAATTTAGAACATTTTGAGGTTTCTGAAAAAGAAGAAAAATCCTAGAAGTGAGAATGTATAGAATTTGCATGAATTTAAAAGTAGAGGACGGACGATGTCTAATAGAAGAAATAGGTTATTATCTAGAACATATTAATAACTTCATCAAATTAACAATAAAGATACCAAAACTGTATAGGAAGTAAATGAAGAATATATATTTAGGCAGTTCACAGAATAGGAAACCAAAAGAGTCAATAAGCATATGAAGACATGTGCTGTGCTTAAAATCATTGACATTAAACAACATTGGTTAAATACACTGGGATATCATTTTAAGCCTCAGTTACTTCCACATAAGAATATAATCCCAACTGTTGCTGGGTATGTTGTGTGAAACTATAAAGTCCCCTGGTCATAGAAATATCTTTGGAACTCTCCCAGAAATCCAAATGCAATGTTCTATGCTCAGCCCAAAATAAGTGCTCAGTATATTGTGTTTACTGTCTTAGACAATCATGCTCAAGAAAAATTCCATCATCAAGAATATGTCAGCTTGAACATTAACGCAATCATACTCTTGCCTTGCTCAATAAGGGAATTAAAACATACAAATATCTTGGATTTCCTAAAGCTTACATTAGGATGAGTTGCTGATGCATATATCATACAGATAAAAGGTCATATTCTTTAATTTTTTATAGACATAAATAATTTGGGGCAATTTCACAATGCATAAGTAGTAACAGTGAGATCCTTTGTAATATTTGCTATAACTATTAAGGGAAACAATACCAAGAAAAATATAGATTTAGTCTCTTGACTATGGTAGTTTTTTTTTCTTTTCTTTTCTCTGATTTTTCCCTTTGATAATTATTTATGGTCTTTACACATTTAAAGATCATTCAGATTTTGTCTAATCAAAACTAATTTTAAACTCCATAGGACATTTTTCTGTGTATGCAGCATTAAAACTCTAAATTTATCTAAGGTACCAAAAAAATTTCTTTCTTCACCATGATGGACATTCATGTCATTATGCAGTGTTCAAGAGGCAGCAAAGAAATGAATATGGAATCAAAGTACACATCAGAGTGATCTAGACGACAGACAAAAATGGACATGGCAAGAGGACGACAACTCAAATAGAGTTTAAAGGATCTTGTAAAAATCAAAGCAGTAATGAATTTCACTAGACACAACCAGCCCCTGTTATCAGTAGATGAGTGGAAATTTCTGTTTTTCTTTCAGGGATAAGAGTAGAAAATGAAAATGACAAAAGACAAGTGAAAGCTGGGTAGTTTAGAGAAAAAGTACTACCCTGAAGACAGTTTCTTATGAATTGCATTCTATTTCAGTGAAGATTTTTGTGTGGTCAGTGAAGTATTTAATCTCCCCAAATTCCATTTGTTGTAACTACCAAACCCACAAAATTATATTTAAAATAATTATTTCCCCTACTCTACAGAATGATTTCAATGATACTGTCTCAGTTATTTCATAAGGTAACCAAAGTAGTTAGGTCAGGCACAAGTTATTATCAGCAAACCTACACTATATTTTAAAAAGTCAAGTTAGAGAGATCTTCCAAAGAACAGAAAAGTGTTAACTATAACCTACTTTTCTTACTTCAAACTCTGTATTGCTGTCATGACTACATTCCGCTATTATTTTATAGAATTGTAGTAGTTTTAGGTAATTCAGCAGATACAAATGAACCTTACTTAGGTTTGCATTTTTAGGTAAGACTACAGTAAGTGATTATCACCCTATATATGGCATCTTCTGCCCGTCATGCTGATGATGTTCTGTGAAGCAGTTCAGAAGACAATCCTGTGTGTTTAATAAACATACTTTTGGCTTTAGGACAGTTCTACAATCATCTTATTATTTGTGAGACAAAAATTAAAAGATGTAACATTCCAAACTTCATTTTTATAGATACAGTAGTAAAAAAAATATTTTGGGTCTTGAGCCAAATAAGTAAGAGAACTGAAGTTGGGGGGTGGGGGGCAGTGGGCAGAGGCAGTTGTAGCAAAGGGGGGTGGGGGGCAGTGGGCAGAGGCAGTTGTAGCAAAATGGCTAGAGATTCGGAAATAAATTTCAAATGTACCAGCAGATTAAATTGCAAAACAGTTTGAATATAAACAAGAAATATATTTTGAGGAATAAGCCTGTGAGATTTGAAAAAAAAAAAAGTGGGGGGGGGAAACACCATAAGCAAAAAAAAAAAAAAAAAAAGAAAAAAGAAAAAAGAAACGCTAAGGTGCTAGAGGAGGGAAACCAATACAAGGAAGAAAAAGATGCTACATAAAAAACTGCAAAAGGGATCCCTGGGTGGCACAGCGGTTTGGCGCCTGCCTTTGGCCCAGGGCGCGATCCTGGAGACCCGGGATCGAATCCCGTGTCGGGCTTCCGGTGCATGGAGCCTGCTTCTCCCTCTGCCTGTGTCTCTGCCTCTCTCTCTCTCTGTGATTGTCATAAATAAATAAAAAATTTAAAAAAAAAAACTGCAGAGAAAGTAAAGGACCCTTGTTGGATCGTCCAGTGAGCATGCATGGCAAACTGTCGAAGTTCAGTATCTCATTATGGCTAGGATCAAATCCACCAAAACTTTTTTCTCCCTCTTATCTTTCCTCCATGACTGTACCCCTAATATCTAGACTATGATGTTTCTTTTTTGATTAAATCACCACTCCCCATGTCCTATCATGGCTTTCCTTTTTTTTTTTTAACTTTTAAAGATTTTATTTATTTATTCATGAGAGACAGAGAGAGAAAGAGGCAGAGGAAGAAGCAGGCCCCACCACCACCACCCCTGCGGGGAGCCCAATGTGGGACTCGATCCCAGTACTCTGGTATCACGCCCTGAGCCAAAGGTGGACGCTTAACTGCTGAGCCACCCGTGCGTCCTTCGGTACCATGGCTTTCATTACAGTTCAATCGTTTGCTTTTCAGAATATCCATATGTAAATCATTGCTATATTTGTTGTTCAGCTTTAAAATGGGAAAGAATGATTACAATGTTACACTTTTGTCCTAATTAGTTTTCAATTTTCTTTTATAAGAGTAAGGAGAGTGGGGAACAGTGACTTAATATAATTGAATCTCTACAAATACACTATATTTTGCTCTAGCAAGCTTATTTGCATGTATGTATATTTGCTATTTTAACAATTGTTAAGTGCAAATTCCATACCGTTAATTATATTCACAACGTGCAACTATCACCACTATTTCCAAAAATTGTTTATTACCATAAGAAAGCTCAACTTAATAAAAAATAAATGATATGAAATACTTCATAAATTCATATGTTATTCTTGCACAGGGGCCATGCTAAGCTTCTCTCTATTGTTCCATTTTTTGTAAATGTGCTGCCAAAGCAAGCACTTGAGTTGTTTTTCTCTAAGTATTTCCATGTTAGAGCTTCAGGAAACCCACCAAATAGAATAATGGCATTCTATTGGAAATTAATGGTAAGAATTTAGATAGTTGTTGACCCACCTGTCCCTTGCCCTCTACCTCACTCTGAATTCTGAATTGCCCAGGTTTTTTTTTTTTTTTAACATTTTATATTTCTAGGATTGGATAGCACAAGCCTGAGATCTGAAAGTGATGCAGAGTACCAACTTCGCAGAATTATACTACCTCAGTCAACTGGGGTTGATGCTTTGATTGATGTCATTATGTGAAATTATGTAAAGCAAGTTACATTCCATGAGAGAGGTATTACATAGGTCTATGTCTGCAGTCAAGAATACTACCAAATTTCCATGAACCTCACTATTTAAATTCCATTATACTTCTTAAAAATTCATATGTTTAAATTTTGCTTATCCAAGTGTTACAACAACATATGTACTGGGATCATGGTGACAGCAGTGCTACTTGAATTATATGAACATTATAGTATTTAAGAACCCATTCTTTGAATATATTTTCCTAGCTTATATGATATTTAAGCATTTTTGTTTCCTTGATACATTTCTTAAGTGTTTATCTGGTGATAAGCTCAAAGATTATAAAAATGAAAATTTCTATTTTGAAAAAGTAGTGAAAATATTTTTCTTCATTCTAACACTTTCCAGTCAGTTACATCTTTTAAAGTACCTGTTATAATAGAATATCCTTAGTAATAGATTCAAAACTACTCTTTATAGTTCTAATCACGTGTCACTTTATATCACGAAAGGTTATTGATTTTCACATACTTAATATGTCTTCCTGAATGAAATTCACTTGTTTGTCTAAAAGTAGAATATGCATAGTAAAACAATACAATAAACAATATTCAGCTGCTTCTTTGATAAACATGTTCCAAACAATTAAGTCTTGAATTGCAGCACTCAAAAATGCTTCCTAGTCATGTATTACTATACTTTATCTTTTCTTCTCCTTCTTTATAATTACCTTACAGTTGATGCTTTTCAAACTCCCACATTCATCCAGTCCCAGAACATGTGAATTCATTAATTTTTAATTTCTTATCAGGGGCACTGTTTTTCAGTCTTATCCTCTACCCATACTTGACCTCCCAGAAAAATACTTATTCTTAAAACCAGTCATATTTATCAAATCATTATCAAATGACCAACAACTTTGGGACTCTCTATACAGTTCAGATGGTCTTTCTAGCATCCTGGCTAATGTTAAATTCATTTTAAATTAAATACATCTTCCTTTGCATTTGTTCTATATCCTTAAATAATTTTAAATCCAGTAACCTATTGACCTCCTCCTCTCTCTTCATCCACTTCTGCAATATTGTCTGTCACCAAGACATTGCCAGGATCTTAACCTGCTCCATCTGCAAAATTTAAAATGTGGAATTTTACTCTCTGACCAAACCCTTATACCCAGGGTCATTTTTCTACTTCATAATATATTGGAAATTAAATGGGCTTTGAAGTTTAAATATAAGTTTTACACTTACTAAGTGAGTTTTGGAATAATACTTACTAATCTCGGAGCCTCATTTTTCTCTAACTTAAAATAAAAAGAAAATTGCTATGTATCCCAGAGCTTATTTCAAATATATGTTTAAATATATCTTTGACTATAGTATATCCATTTTGATTATTGCAGAAAATAGTTATACATTTTTCTGTACTTTGAAAAAAGAGTCAATAAGGTGAAAACATTATTTTGTTTTACAGTCTAGATATAACTATATATAGTAATATATATATATATATCTCCTTAATTAGCATCTCAGAGAAAGAAGGAAATTCTCTACTTAGGGCTATCTCATTAACTTGAGGGGTTTTTTTTTTTCTTTTTGCCTGGAAGGGATTAGTTTCAAGATGATCATCTTTTTCTCTCACATTTTTATTTCCTCACCAGTTTGTGGGATAAGAAGAATAGGGTTAATAACCAATTAGAACCATGGAGAATGTGACTGGAAGATGTACAATCCTGTGGCCTGAGAGAACACACGAGATAGATAATATCACTGGTGTTTATTACCCTACAGATATAATCATGTTTTGAAGTATCAAAATGTTATATGATTTTTACAAATGTAGATAAATTGGCAACACAAAACATAGCTAGCAATTATTCCTGGGCTGATTCTGTAATTGTAGGAATTTTTGTTCAAAAGAGGAAGTTAATATGATCATACATTCAGTAAGTAAAGGGTTTGTCACAAAAATGAGATACCTTTTTTTTAATGAGATAACTTTATGTGCTATTTTGCCATCATTGTCAAAAAAGAACACAGAAAGTAGTTCAGTGGCTTTATATTTGGGGAAGAATTCAAGCAGCCTCATTAAAAGATGTCCACAAGCAATCTTTGTGTCATCAATATATGAAATTGAATGGGGAATTTAGTAACAAATTTTTTATTGTTTGTATCTTTAGAGCTCCCCCCCCCCACATTTTAATAGTGTAATTAGTGCCAATACCAGTCCATAGTTTAACATACTTTTTCTTTTGCCAAATATTAGCTATTATTTTTATTCCATGTTAAAAATGAGCTCATTCTGAAGAAAAAAAAATGAGCTCATTCTGTAAGGCTGTTGGATTTTGCAATACAGCCTTAAACAAAGCAACAGATGATTTCTGGTTCTTTAGCTGGAAATTTGTCTCTAAATATGTCTTCCACTTCTACAACACACAATTTTCCAATATGTTCTTCAGCTACAAAAGCTGAATATAGCAAGACAACAGATTTTCATTTTATATTGTCACATTTGATTACTTCTGTTTTAAGTCTTTTCTGAAACTCTGACATACATATCAATAATTGCTGTTCCTATTTAAAAGTAAACAGACTTCAAAGGCCTTTCTCTCTTTCTTCTTTCTTAATTTCTTCTTTCTTTCTTTCTTTCTTTCTTTCTTTCTTTCTTTCTTTCTTCTTTCTTTCTTTTTTTCTCTTTCCTTTCTTTCTTTTCTTTCTCTCTTTCTTATCATGCTTTATTAGCTGATGTTTGTTTGCCACCAATGTGGCACGTTGTTTATTAGCAACGAACAGAATATACTTGAGGTAGCTGGAACAAGGGCTTGCTAAAAAAGCCTAATTAAAAGTCTATCCAATATTTGCATAGATATCCAAAATGATTAGAATCCTTGCCTTGCAGTAGTAGTCCTGACAAATCCAGACCAAATCAGAACCAATCAAATTGATACATTGGGGAAACATAGGGGTGGGTGCTACAAGTATGTGTAAGTATGTGCTGCAAGTTTTTGGCTTCATAAATAATCCATAATAAACCTTAATTAGAATTCTATTAATTCTAATAGAATTAGAGGGCAGCCTGGTGGCTCAGCGGTTTAGCACCGCCTTCAGTCCAGGGCCTGATCCTGGAGAACCGGGATTGACTCCCACGTCTGGCTCCCTGCATAGGACCTGCTTCTCCCTCTGCCTGTGTCTCTGCACCTCTCTCTTTCTCTCTCTCGCTGTGTCTCTCATGAATAAAGTTTAAAAAAGAATTCTTTTTTAAAAGAATTATGATTATTATATTGCATGTAATTTTAAATTATTGAAAATTTATTATATGTTGAATATCACATGAGGCTCATTCTAAACATTATTATCCTAATTTATTTGAAATTAAGCATAAAATTGTTATAGTAGCCTAATACATGTATTTAATTAGCAACTGGGTAATGAGTCCGTTATATCATTAGTAGATGAAGGTTTACTTTACTGAAATTCTAAGGAAAATGATGAATAGAGGTCAACCAACAGTTGATGAAATAAAACTTTATCGATGCCATGTAAAATCTAGTCTATCTGCTACTCTCCAGAATGAATGAGTTGATCAATGGGTGAGTGAAACAGTAAGCAAGACAGATAAACAATTTAGTACAGATGTCTTTCTTCACAGAATGCAAGAATCTGCACCTAGGTCAGTCACAGCAACCCACACTGGAAAGCTATATTTATACTACTCAAATAAAATCAAGGAAAAAAAATCATCTTGATACAGAACTTTCTGCATAACTGATAAAATATCATCACTTTAAAAAACATTTTGTTCTTTTATTTTTTAATGTAGACAGAAATATAGCTGGAGAACTTTTACTACTTTGAAGCCAGCAGAGATGGTTATTATGTTGGCTTCTAATTTTCCTCTAGATTAAGAAATATGCTGTCATTCATTGTATCACATTGTTTGCATTCCAGTTCATTATGATAAGTGTGTGTTAGTAGAGGCATCAAAATCATCAACCTGTAAACCCTAAGACTGGAAAAAGTAGTCATCTTTACTGCTTTAAGAAATTCTGGAATTTTAATAATCTATCTTCTGTATATTACTGTAGAAAAAACTTGATAAGGTATTATACACACACAAACACATACACACGCACAATGTTTGCTTAATTTATAGCCATTTCATCTTAAATAAAGACTGCTTAGGTTTTCAGTCCTCTGTGTCAATGTTAGGCTGTGAAACCCAGAATATTAGCCTGGCTCAGTGTCCATGGAGACAAATCCCAGATTCCACAACAGCAACAGGATTTATATGGCACTATTCCTACAGTGTATCACTTTGGACTTAATAATATTCTGTAATGTAACAGAAAAAAGCTAAAGTACCAGACTACTCAAATCCATGTTAAAAGAATAGAATTCAATTTATTCTGAAAGTATAACAGTAACTCATTTCCAAATGACATAAAGAAAGCAGCGGGCATCAGATAAGTTTATTGCTATTTGTGTGAACTGTCAGGAAAAAAGAGAATTATCCAGTTGAGCATACTGAGAGACTTATTATCACATACAAATCATGCAGTTCAATACAGAAAAGAGCTCAGAATCATATGTCAGGAAAAAAAAAATGAAGGAAATCAAGATGCTTGCCTTCCATTCAGACTATTTGAGTTTTGAGGGACTTTTGATTATTCTCATTCTTACACTCACATGAATGCACACGTGTATACAC